TTTAAGCACCGGTTCAAGCACCGTTTAAGCACCGGCACCATTTCAAAAGTACCGGTTTGGCACCGGTATCGGATAAAACCTAAACGATACCCATCCCTAGAGAGAAGACAGAAGTCACAACTGTAGTGGTGACAGGGAGATGCTGTACATGATAATAAGGAACTCATCCTAGCAACTGCAAAGCCATCTCGACATACAAGGGAAGATGAAACTGGAGGGGAAATTGGCCAAATTAAATCACAAAAAAGGATCTACTGTACCACGAAAAAGTCTGGGGCCACTTGTTGTTTCTTTATATATTGCTAAAATATAAAGAAATGAAGAGGAAAATGGGAAATAGTTAAAGTGAAAATATAAATGGAAATACAGTATATAAGGCAAAAGCAGAGTTGGTGTAAATCTAACGATCTTGAAATTAAGTGTATGGTATGACCAGCATTATTCTTCAACACAGTCTGAACTCTCTCAGGCAAACTTTCTTGTAATTTCTTTAAGTAATCCTCAGGAATAGTTCTCCAGGTTTCTTGAAGGACATCCAAAGCTCCTCTTTGGATGCTGGCTTCCCTTTGTTCCATTCTGTCAACATGAACCCACAAGCTTCAATAATGTTGAGGCTCAAACTATGGAGAGGCTGATCCATGAATGACAGTGTTCCATTGTGTGGTTTTCTATACAGGTATGCCTTTTCTGCATTGGCAGTGTGTTTGGGAGGACTGTCATGCTGAAAAGGCCGTTGCCAGTCAGATGCTTCCTAGATGGTATTGCATGGTGGATCACAATCTGATTTTGTACTTTTCTGCATTCATAATTCCATCAATTTTGACACTTCCTATTTTATCCTCTATTTGTACAGTTTGAGACATTTTCCAAGGACACACTGCACACCATGCCAATATAGGCCCAAAGAACTATTCATTTTCAGTTAATTGCTAGTAGTTTTTAGCTAATAGCTCTTTGGAAATCAACTGATTGGTATCTGTGCCTGTCAAACTGTGGAATATTTGGCATTTTTTGTACATTCAACTAAAAACATAGGAACAAATTACATGTTTTTGAGAAAGACTGCTACTAATAAGGTGCCTAAAAATACAATTTAAAATTGGTTCTTTTCAACGCTGGCTCATCCTTCGTATTAGTTGCTTTTTATGCTTTAATGACGTTTAATGTTGTAGATCGGTGGTGAGTGGCTAAAATACAAAAAAGACCCTTCATCTAAAAATGGTCAGATATACGAATTAAACTGAGGATGAGTGAAAAATACTTTGAAGGGCCCTCCGAAGGCCTTTCAAAGTGTTAAAAGTGGTTACAACAAAGTCTGGCTCCTTGGAAGCAAAACATATAGAAATGATGGGCGTCTCTAGACTGTTGCACAGTACTGTACTATATATTTTTTAATCTATTCCCCGAACTTCATATGTGCCACGAAGTATAAAACTCAGACTGATAACAGTGGTAACAGTGTTTCTATAGGAAGAAAATTTTGTATGTTGATTAATAAAACTGACAACATGGAGAATTTCTAATCTACTGTTCTGTCCACTAAATATCACTCTTGATATTTGCAGATGTAGTTTTGAAGACAAAAAACATAACATAAATCTGTATTTATTAATATATAATCACTATAAACATTTATGAAGGACATTACGTAGGAGAGTTGTTCTGAATAGAGTAAACTGTTGACACACAAGAACTGTAAGAAGAACTAAAAGAACTGAAAAAACATATTGCACCTGTTTATGGCAGAGCTGAGCTCATCCAGGCGCCTTGCGTCAGTGGTGGAGGTGTTGTCGAGTTTGGACAAACTGTCCATCCTCTTCAGAATCACCTCCAACATGTCGCTAATCTTCCTCAGCACACCACGTGACTCCACGCCTCCCAGCACTGAGTGGAAAGACAGACGTGAGACAGGAGATGAATGAAAGCTGGACAGTGAGTACATACGAAGCTCGCACATTAATCATACAGCCTCCAGCTCTTCTGGCTCACCATATTGTAGCTGATTTTGGCTGTGTTCTTGTTTTGCACAACTGTCATGATACACTTGACTACAATGAAGATCAAAAGAAAAGTTCCTTCTGCTAAGTGGCAAACAATGCAAACGTCCTCAAACAGATTTGTGAGAAGGATTTCCACTTAACGTCTGTATTGTGTGTTGGAGTTCTGCTACCTCAAAGCATTTAACAAGCCTCAATATCACTTTTTCTTTGCAAGGCTGTCAAGAAAACTACTTGTATAGTAATGAATTTTGCTTAGAAGGAAGACTGTAATACAGAACGCCAGCCCAGCTATGATATTTGGTGTTGGTTGTGGCCAATACTCCAATAGGAAGAAGTACAATTTAAGTTCCTATCCAAAGATAAATGAAGTCAAAACTCTGTGAACTTTGTTGTGTGTCCCTATTTTTGGTGTGTGTTTCAGTTTTAAACCAACCCATTTATTAAATTAATTCCAACCCAGCAGGACTCAATAGTACCTCTAATTTAACTGAGAAATGAGTTGGAGTAGACCCATCTTTGAAATCTCTCTTCCTTTTGATCTCAAATACAGGCCGATAAATTTTGTCACTGGTGGGATGCTATCACATTGCCAAAAATTGTTCCAGTGAAAGACTGCTAAATTACTCAAAAACTGCACGCGCATAATGGTTCCAGAATTTGGCACACACATGCACATACTATGAATCTATTGAGAGGCAATGTGATTTTATAAGTTTGACTTGCACAGTTATCGAAAATGTTCTGGCACCGAAAGCTCATCCTCACAATACCATTTCAGACTCATGAGAGCAGCTCCTCTTCAATTCAGCCCGTGTGTTATTCTTCATCTTAAAGTCTAAAAGCCAACATTTTGATTATGTGTCTTTAACCTGCATATCTCCAGCTTGATCTCTTCCTGTCTGTCTGCAGCAGTGCACATTACCCAGTGATGTATTCTGATCTCTCCTCATAAACTGGATTTTGCCCGGGTCAGAAAACCAGACACTCTGGAGTCTGATGTCTTAATGTAGACTTATCTTTATATCCTTTGATACCCTTTGATATAAAGATATGAGGGTGAGATGTCCACCAAGGCTATATGGAATATAAAAAGCCAGCAACTAATTATGCTGGGGCGCTCAGTCACTTTCTTTTTCTTGCATGTTCTTCTGTCTGTCCGTGTGAAATCCAAGAGGAGAAATCGAAAGGAGTGGCTGTGTGTGTGTGTGTGGAAAGATGAATACACTGGCCATCAGAGTTGAAAAGGGACTCATAACACAAAAGAGCACATACACAGTAGCAGAGACAGTGAGAAGAGAGACGGTATAAAAAGGTTTACCACACCTCATTAGGATAATTACACTGACTCTGGCAGGGTCAAGAGTGCCTATGAATTCAGTCATAATGGACCAGAATGAGGAAGGTGACTGAAAGCATGAGACACAGATGGAAAACTTTCTCATTTAATTACTCTTCTCTATTCAGTGTATGTACTGCTCATCATTTTTAAAGAAAAAAGTAATAGATAAATTATTCAGAGTGAAAACTAGTGTCCCAGGAAATGGAAATTATTCCAGCAAGATTTATGTAAAATCTTGGCAATACTTTATCTTTGTTTAGCTGAATCATGACATAAAAATAAATCACATACTTTACCTCATACTGATATATTACCTCATTTAAATCAGATAGGGACAAAGCAGTTGTCTACCCTTTCAAGCAACCAACAGAGCTTGAACGGGTTTATATAATGTTTTCCAAGCAAAAGTTTCAAAGTTTCATTTAATAACTACATATTACATAAATTGCATACTTAACCAAAACATTATGTCTTAAATCTTCAGCGACCTTTCAGTTTATTTATTTATTTTAATTATGGGTATCTGCTTTCTTGCAAGTTTAGATAAAAACAATGGTGAAGAAGTAAAAGATACCAACGTGATGCTAAAATAAAACATGAAATACAAAACAGATTAACGCTAACAAACTTACAAACATAAATGACAAATTAACGCAACAATGATGTGGCGAAAAGTAGCAATTTATCATTTTTGGAGGGGTCGACAGGAAACATGTGATGTAAGGTTGATGGTTATATGAGGCAAACATAGGTAAGCGGTGATTGTGACATATACAATACCTTTAGTTGAAAATTAAAACTTCTTTTTCAAAGGTTTGGTAACGTAAACTGATCCAGTCCATATTTTGATCACATCAGTTAGAATTGTAACAAATAGAGTCCATAAGATATTCCCTCAAAGAAATCCTGTCCACCATCATCAACAGAGTTTTGGTAACCATACGGGTTGATGGTAAGAACCTTAGAGCATGTAGCTTGGGACAGCAGGAACATAAAGGTCACAGTTTATTCCTCTAGCTTTCCATCAGGGTTTAATAGTGCCTATATTGACACTGCTAACACCTGGATTACACTGCCTGACCATTCTGTCAAACCCCATGTCTGCTGCTTGACAAGCAATTACAGCCAATAGGTGTCAGAGCCTAACATCTCCAGCACAAGGTCATTGTCTGCCTTGTTTTCCGCCACCAACAGCAGGAATCGTAAGTTCAATGAGTTATTGCCACAGTGACAGATGTATTCATCTGAAACTGACAGTGTCACGTCCTCTGCCTATGATAGATTGCTGTTTAACAGTTCGCGGCTTGGTCCTTCTGGTGACATCTTTGTGACTGGCTGATAATGGATGACAGCTATGTCAAGAGTCGTGTAAATTGAAGGAATAGTTATCCTGGTAAACTGAAAATTCTTGGCACGGGTTAAACAAATGAGTGTTTGTTAATTTGAAAAAAAAATCCACAAAATGGGATTACTGGCAGAGCTTCATAAAGTGCATTTAGATCCAAACCACCTACTCTTTTATTAGTTTGGCTTGCCAAAATCTGGATTTGATGCTATTAATTAATTAATAAAATACTACAGGGGAGTTTAGCAAAGAGTAGGGTATATTACGATACATTTTTTTTGACAGCTACAAGCTCCTGGGATGTTCAGCAGTGAGCAAATGGGAGTGATTTCAACCTAAAGGTATAAAAGATCCAATAAGTTAATGACTGCATCTTTCACATGTTCCCATTGTCTAATGTTCATGTCAATTCAAGTCAGGGGGCTAATCGTTTAAATGACAACACTATCCCTGTAGCTTTATTACAGGGAAACAACACATTTAACATGTACGTCAAATGAAACCGTACACAAATCTCACTGCTGTAATACAGTATATAATAGCAAACAATGACATGTTATATGTAAGTCGTGATCTTTGGGTTTCGTCAGTTTTAAAATATAATGGTGTCAAAAAAAGGCCACAGGACAAAGTATCCTCTACAGAAAGGGAATTTTAAAAAAGGAAAAGATGAGCAACAGACAGTTTTTACTTACTGCATTACTCAGTAAGGTTGTTATTTTAATTGGACTGTGAAGCCCCAGGACTTAAATTATACAACTTTTTTAAACAAGCATAAAATAAACAAGAAAAATAGATACATTTTCAACAAATTCTTTCTTGCAGCAGCTTATAGTTGCCCATTTTTAACTTCCATGTTCTGTTAAAGAAGGTAACTCAGAAGTGTCAGGGAAAGTTTTATATATGTGTAGTTTACTGATTTTATACAGATACCTATACTGGGGTTGATATCAATGAAAGTTTACATAATGTTGCTCTCTGTAAAAGCTGGTGTTTCACCTTCTGTACAGCAGAACCCACACAGCAGCAACTAGGGCTAGCTTAAATACTATTTTACATATCATTGGGCAAAAAAATAAACTAAATAGGTAAATAACTGTTAAAAAGCAATATCAGTGATAACACTATGTTTAAGTTGACTGACACAGTGCAAAAATTAAATATTAACATATAATGTATATAACACAAATATTTTAAGATTCGATTAGATCAGTCTTAGGTAATACCAGCAAACCAAAAAAGACAATATTTTGGGTTTTCTGTGAGGGTCCTGTATTGTGTGTTATCTATTATAAGGGTACACGCTGTGAGGACTGAGTGTTTCCTGACTAGCTCCCACAAAAATGTTATTGTTTTGCTATTATCCATAGCTGCTACTTTAATGATAAGACTTTAACAATAAAAGATGAGTAATGTGGCCTTCGGATAAAGGTATCTAGGTCGCTCCATGTTTCCACAGGGGCTGCAGTGGATGGATCTTCATGTTTGATTTTGCAAAGATTTTATACTGGAAACAGCCCTCCTAATTATCCCGAGATTGGGACCAGTACTGAGACTAGCTTGTGACCCCCTGAGGCTGGGTTTGTGGCTGCGGTTAACACTGAAGTACGTAAACATTTACATTTGTCTTTGGTGAGTAGAAATCAAATGTCTAGACGAGCTGTAATATGAGACTCCAAGGAGAATACTGAATTGAATATAAGTGAGATAAAAATAAAGCCATAGTATATGTTTTTTTGACTTTTTGAAGGTAATTAAAGTCATAGAAAGGGTCAGATAATAAAAAAGTGTCAGTGATTTTCCTTCATCAAATTTTTTCATGTTGCTAACATAAAATTACATTTCACCCAGGCAAAATGGCAATTATGACTCTACAATATTGTAATTATTAATCCCAGAGGTATGATTTTCAGTACCAAAAAATTAAACTGACTGCAATCTGCTATATTTTAGTGATGTGCTGGTGGGGCGTAACACACAAATTAACACACTTGGCCATGTGAGTTCACATAGGCAACACACACACAAACGTCCTGCAGACACATAAACATACATTTGTGTGCATAAGCTATGACGTGTGCCAAAACAGGATGATGTTTTGATTGGCTTGAGGGGGTGTTTGCATATTCATGAGAAGAAAACCATTTATGGTTTGATGAATGCTCACAGAAGGGGCTTCTGGATAGGAGTTGACACAGCT